TTTGATATTAGGTATAGTAAATTAACTTTTAATAAAATTCCTGAATTATTTAGAATGTTGATTTGTTATTTAATAGATACTCTATTTAATAGCAATTCAACATCCTCCTATTCTATCTGTATCCTTAGCGCCTCTTTGTAGGTTTCTAGCACCGCGAGGGGGCGTTATTGCGAACTTTGAGAAAGACTGGACTTACTCGAGTAAATCCAAAAATCCATCCATTCGCTATCTGCAAAGACGTTAAACTATATAGCAATATTTTAATCTCTGCCCATCTGCAAGATCCTGGTTCCTATTACAGGTCAGGTTCTTGTAGACAATGAACATTTTTAATAGCTATATTGTCTTGGCTCTGTCTAGGTGGTTGTGAAGATGTCATTTATATCTTTATTAATTTCAATATTCTCTAGAGCTAGAAATGATGTGCTTGAAACTCGATATTCGATCGAATTCGAATATTTTGCAAACCGAAATGTCAATGTCAAATTTTGTATGGAAACTTGAACAGCAGCGCTACAAAGTACGTAACGGGAACTAAAAATCAGTACATATTTGACAATGAAATTTCGGGCTCGTAAACGATACGAATTCGATATTGGTTCGTGCTAGGGGTACTGTTCTCTTTTTATATAGATAGACTCAGTTTTCAATCAATCCTACCTGTGATGACATATGTTGCCGAAACGTGGACACTGACGGTACGGCTGGTCCACAAGTTCAAAGGCGCTCAGCTTGCTATGGATAGGGCTATGCTCGGCGTTTCTCTGAAGGATCGCATAAGAAATGAGGTGATCCGACAGAGAACCAGAGTTATCGACATAGCCCACCGGATTAGCAAGTTGAAGTGGCAATGGGCTGGCCATATTTGCCGCAGAACCAATAACCGTTGGGGAAGACCGTTGTTTAGGACGGCCTCATGTACGGTGGAGTGACGATTTGCGCAAGGTAGCTGGCAGAAGCTGGATACGAGTAGCCCAAGATCGAACTCAGTGGCGTGCAATTGGAGAGGCCTATGTCCAGCAGTGGACTTAGATAGGCTGTTGATGATGATTGATGATAGGCAGATTCACGGCGATATGTCATGGGGTAGGGTAGAGATGACCTCTTTCTATCTTGGGCAAAACACATGCGAGTTCGTAACATAACTCTCAAATGATTTGGTTTCTTATCTCCTAAGCATTTTAAGTATACGATTTATTTTGTTTTAAATTCACAGTGTCTTAAGATGAATGTAATTAGTAAGTTCTCGCTAATTACAATAACATAATTTATTTATTAATTAGTTATACCTACTTTCAACAATATTTGAGAGGCAAATTGTGAATATTATGACAATGTAATTTATATCAACAGATCAGTTCACAATTACAATGATACTCGAGTATTAGTCATTTTTGCATACTATCATGTGTTATTTATCATCATTACTGTTGTTCCGTCTGTACAGTCATATTGTAACAAACCGTGGTTAATTATTATTATAATGTACAGCAATATTAGCAACTTTCGAAAAGGTCTGCTATGGAATGGGTAATAATTTCTTATTATTATGTCTTGTAACGTAGTCATATGTATGTACGAAGTAGTCATATAACCCGCCTACATCTGTCGTCTTAACCACCCAGTAGACAGCACTAGGCTTGCGTGACTGGTAATTGCTAATTGAGAAGTTCACCGAGGAGACTTAAATATGACTGATTGATTGTGAAGGTGACATTATAGCATAGAGCAACACGGCCGACTACTACTCAATTTATCATCATCATCAGCCTATTGATGTCCCCACTGTTGGGGCACGGGCCTTCCCTACTCAACTATTCTTCTCAATTATTTGCCTATAATATGTTTGCATAATATATAATAGGCAAATAATTGAGGTAAAATATAAAAGTCAATATTCCTCTTATTACTAACTAGTAGTAGGGGAGCGAGTGCGGTAGAATCACATATGGGGAGCAACCTTGCACCTAGTTAAGTACTCCCACCATACCTGAGCCCTCTATGTAGGGCCGAACGTCTAGGGCAGCAAAAACAAAATTTCAACGAACGTTCATGACTTTTGGTGGCGCCCAAATCGTCAGTCTTTTGAATATAAGCTACTAGAGGGTTTATGTAACGTTTCTAAGAACGGAAAAAATATTGATCTGCCGCGGTTTGCATGATATGGGGGTGCCCGTACGAAGGGTTAGAATATAGGAAAAAATAACCGAGCGCGTCAGACATTGAGAAGGGATGTTACGTGAACCCTCCAGTAGCTCCTATTCAAAAGACTGATGATTTGGAGCCGACCAAAAGTCATGGCCGTTTGTTGAAATTTTACTTTTGCTGCCCTAGACGTTCGGCCCTACATAGATGGCTCAGGTATAGTGGGAGTACTTAACTACGTGCAAGGTTGCTCCCTATATGTTATTTTGCCACGCCCGAGTAAATCCAAAAATCCCCGCTCGAGCTCCCCTACTATAGCGTTTATCTAACGCTAGTAAAGTTTTGTCTCTATTTCATCATCGAATTACAAATGTCATTTGATTGATATGAACCGAACACCTCGTAACTATTGCAAGCTTTTTTCTAGGATAAACGGTGAAACAATATAAGGACATATATATTTTCCTTACAAATGCAAACGGCTAGAGGTAGTTTAGTATTAATGACGACCTCCGTGGTCGAGTGGTTTGGACGCCGGGTTTCATGGTGTCGCCAACTCGAGAGGTCCCGGGTTCGAATCCCGGTGGGGGCAGATGTTTGTGTGATGAATACGAGCATTTGTACTCCAGTCATGGATGTTTAATATGTATTTTTTATATAAATATACTTATATATGTACAATATATGTATTCTATCCGTTACCCTAGTATCCCATAATACAAGCCTTACAGTGCTTACTTCGGGGCTAGGCTAATTGGTGTGAGTGTTGGAAATATTTATTATTGATTTATTTATTGATTCATCATCATCATCGGCCTATTAATGTCCCCACTGCTGGGGCACAGGCCTTCCCTACTCAACTATTCTTCTCAATTATTTGCCTATAATATATGCAAATATAATATATGCAAATATATTATAAGCAAATAATTGAGGCAAAATATAATAGTCAATATTCCTCTTATTACTAACTAGCGTTTATCTAATTGAAAAAGCTAGTGAAGTTTTCTACTTTTCATCGAATCACAGATGTCATTTGAGTGATATGAACAGTACCCCTAGCACGAACCAATATCGAATTCGTATCGTTTGCGAGTCCGACATGTCATTGTCAAATGTGTACTGATTTTTAGTTCTTGTTACGTACTTTGTTCCGCTGCTGTTCAAGTTTTTATATAAAACTAGCTGACTCGGCGAACTTCGTACCGCCCAAAAGTAATAATTTGCAATAAATTAAAATTGCGACTATAATTTGAGATTTAAACTATCCTATCTCTCAAGTTGGATCGAACTGCACATGGTGTGCGAATTTTATTATAATCGGTTCAGTGGTTTAGGAGTCCATTGAGGACAAACATTGTGACACGAGATTTATATATATTAAGATTTGACATTGAAATTTCGGTTTGCAAACTATTGGAATTCGATAATGGTTCATGCTAGGGGTACTGAACACCTCGTAACTATTGCAAGCTTATTTCTAGGGTATACGGTAAAACAATAATAAGAACATATATATTTTCCTTACAAATGCAAACGGCTAAAGGTAGTTTAGTAATAATGAAGATTCAATTATTTTTATAACCCTTTTTATCAGTCTGTTTCTAACGCTGGAAATGCATTATTAAGGAATGCAACTCCATTCCCACGTCATGTTCATATAATGAGTGAAAGTCTTAATAATTCGAAAGATTTTTGAGGCTTTTGAGTAATAACGCACTAAACGTTATCATAGGAATGCGCATTAACATGTGTCAATGCAATAGCCTGGACCGCCGCGATGTATTAAACGGTTGTCGACTCCGTCCCCGTCTCAATGAGGCTGTTTCATAATTAGAGTCGGCTGCGTTATTGCGTACTCTCATACCACAGGCATGCCTTTATTCGTTTCTAAATGAAATTCAGTGTTGGACACCCAATGACCCTGTTTTAACTCTATAATGAATATCAATAAGCGAAGAAGCTAATGATGAATCTTATCAGAAAACTTATTTTTGTGTTGCAGGATATGAATAGCCTTAGTGTTTGAATAATGTCCACGATTTTTTTTCGTTATTAAGATAGGTCCGACAAGTGACTCCGCTCCACCTGATGTTAAGAACTAACACGCCACCATTGTAAATGTCATATTTTGTATATGCCCATTTATGGGAATTTATCATTTACGTCATTTTTTATAGATATGTCCGATAAATGACTCTACCCCACCTGATGTTAAGTGACGGTGAAGTCCAAACGTGAAGATAGCTGGTACTGCAGTTCTACCTGCCACACCAGCCATCCTCACCTTGCCGGCTTGCATGTTGCTTCTTCACGCCTTTTTTAAATGTTTGACGTCTCCAGATATTTTCGTTATATCGAAAGCAGAATTTCAATCGGTCTCGTGTGTAATTCCAATATTTACCATATTATTCTCATATGAAAAAAATATGGGACTGCATTTTTTACTTTTGCTCTAAAGCTACTGGGTACTGTTTGCTTATATAATCACTAGCGGCCCGCCCTCGCTTCCCTTCGGTGTAAGGCTGAAGTGTAGACTACAGTTTTTGTTCTCGGGCTTGTATTATACACAATGACATTCATCTTTGATTGTTCTTATACCTGCATGCAAAGTCTCAGCCCGATCGGTTTAAAATTGACAAGGTTTCATACAAACTTTCATTCCCTATTTTATCCCCTTGGGGGTAGAATTGATCAAATTCCTTCCTTAGCGGATGCCTACGTCATAACATCTACCTGCATGCCAAATTTCAGCCCGATCCGTCCAGTGGTTTGGGCTGTGCGTTGATAGATCACTATGTCAGTCAGTCACCTTTGAGTTTTATATTTAAATGATGGTAAATTTGACGTTGCAGATGCACAAACTATACGCGTTGCGGTACTGGGGCTGCGAGCTGCTATGCCTGGTGAACATCGTGCTGCAGCTGTGGATGATGGACAACTTCTTCAACGGCGAGTTCTTCTCGTACGGCACCAGGGTGCTGGGGTACAGCGAAGTACCGCAAGAAGAGAGGTGAGTTTGCGATTGTGGAGAACTCTTGTGATTGTCTATTAACGGAAATGAATTAGTATCGGACGGTACTAGGACCGTGATTTAGACGAGATGGTTCAAGCCAGCCTGTCAGTTGCTTCTTCGTGCTCCTTTTAAAGAACCCCAAGTTGTAGAAAGAAAGGAATAAAGTGCGCAGGCAAAGCATTCTATTTGCCAATAAAGTAATGAATCGCCAAATCTCTTTGCATCCGTTTGAACCGGAGTATTTTAAGAAAGTTTTTGATGAGACGCACGGCCACTTTTTACCATTGCAGGACTCACCAGCGCTGGGTTACATCCTCTCACGCTCTCTGTAAGGCACGTAGACATAGATATAGAACTGAGTGGCATTCACATGAAATTGACAATTACGTATTTCTGCGCATATCCATGTGCACCTTCCTCAAGTTCGGCGCGTCGGGCAGCATCGTCTCAGAGGCAGAGAGCTTCATCTCACTCACACTCTGTATCTCCCAAATCTCTCGTACATGCTCCGTTATTCAACGTCCCAGACACCACGCCCTGATCTATGTATTTCCACGCATCATTAAGTGCATGTTCCACAAGTATGGAGCGTCGCCGTCTGGTAGCATCCTCACAGAGGCAGAGGGCTCTCTCACCTTCTTACTCTATATCTTTGTCTCACTTACACACGCCCCTTTACTTACTCCCTTTCGGTTCCAGATTTTACCCTATGATCTACGTGTCCCGCGCATCACCAAGTGCACGTTCCATATATCGGGCAGCATCCTCTCAGGGGCAGAGCTTCTTTATCTCACGCTATCTCTATATCTTTCAAGTCTTTCACACATGCCCCTTTATTCGAAGTCCCAGATACGACCCCTTGATCTACGTATTCCCGCGCATCATCAAGTGCACGTTCCACAAGTTTGGAGCGTCGCCGTCTAGCAGCATCCTCTCAGAAGCAGAGGATTCTATCACTTTTTTACTCTATTTCTCTGTGTCACTTAGAGTTAGACACGCCCCTTTACTCATCACTCCCGTTGGTTCCAGATACGACCCCATAATCTGTGTTCCTGCGAATTACCAAGTGCATGTTTCACAAGTTTGGAGCGTCGGGCAGCATCCTCTCAGAAGCAGAAATCTCTCTCCCTCTCACTCTCTCTGTGTCTATCTCTCTCACACACGCCCCTTTACTCACCGCCCCCGTTGGTTCAAGATACAACCCCATAATCTACGTGTTCCTACGCATTACCAAGTGCATGTTCCACAAGTTTGGAGCGTCGGGCAGCATCCTCGCTGAAGCAGAGATCTCTCTCCCTCTCACTCTCTCTCTGTCTATCTCTCTCGCACACGCCCCTTTACTCACCGCCCCCGTTGGTTCCAGATACGACCCTATGATCTACGTGTTCCTGCGCATTACCAAGTGCATGTTCCACAAATTTGGAGCGTCGGGCAGCATCCTCGCTGAAGCAGAGATCTCTCTCCCTCTCACTCTCTATGTGTCTGTCTATCTCGCATACGCCCCTTTACTCAATGCCCCTGTTGGTTCCAGACCCGACCGTATGATCTACGTGTTCCCGCGCATCACGAAATGCACGTTCCACAAATTTAGAGCGTCGCTTCTGGCAGCATCCTCTCAGAAGCAGAGGATTCTATCACTTTTTTACTCTATTTCTCTGTGTCACTCTAACACGCCCCTTTACTCATCACTCCCGTTGGTTCCAGAAACGACCTCATAATCTACTGTTCCTGTGCATTACCAAGTGCATGTTCCACAAGCTTGGAGCGTCGGGCAGCATCCTCTCAGATGCTGAAATCTCTCTACCTCTCACTCTCTCTATGTCTATCTCTCTCGCACACACCCCTTTACTCAATGCCCCTGTTGGTTCCAGATACGACCCCATAATCTGTGTTCCTGCGCATTACCAAGTGCATGTTCCACTAGTTTGGAGCGTCGGGCAGCATCCTCTCAGAAGCAGACATCTCTCTCTCTCCCTCTCACTCTCTCTGTGTCTATCTCTCTCACACATGCTCCTTTACTCACCGCCCCCGTTGGTTCCAGATACGACCTCATAATCTACTGTTCCTGCGGATTACCAAGTGTATGTTCCACTAGTTTGGAGCGTCGGGCAGCATCCTCGCTGAAGCAGAGATCTCTCTCCCTCTCACTCTCTCTGTGTCTATCTCTCTAGCACACGCCCCTTTACTCAATGCCCCTGTTTATTCCAGATACGACCCTATGATCTACGTGTTCCCGCGCATCACCAAGTGCATGTTCCACAAGCTTGGAGCGTCGGGCAGCATCCTCTCAGATTTCTCTCTGAAGCAGAGATCTCTCTCCCTCTCACTCTCTCTGTGTCTATCTCTCTCTCACACGCCCCTTTACTCAATGCCCCTGTTGGTTTCAGATACGACCCTATGATCTACGTGTTCCCGCGCATCACCAAGTGCATGTTCCACAAGCTTGGAGCGTCGGGCAGCATCCTCTCAGATTTCTCTCTGAAGCAGAGATCTCTCTCCCTCTCACTCTCTCTGTGTCTATCTCTCTCTCACACGCCCCTTTACTCAATGCCCCTGTTTATTCCAGATACGACCCTATGATCTACGTGTTCCCGCGCATCACCAAGTGCACGTTCCACAAGTTTGGTGCGTCGGGCAGCATTCAGACTCACGATAGCCTCTGTATCCTGCCGTTGAACATCGTCAACGAGAAGACCTACATATTCCTGTGGTTCTGGTATATTATACTGGCCGTCGTGCTGTCGCTACTCGTCTTGTACAGGTGAGTTTTGTTTTTAAATACCTACCTACTTGTTTATTATGAAAAAGATGATGCACAGTGAATGTTCGCCACATCCTTGACGCACTATATCTAAACAAGGTTTCACTCCAATAATATAATATTTAGTAATCCTACCAGAAACCCTTCAAATGATGCCATATGAAGAAACAGAGAAGTTGATGATCTTTTTAAACTAAAATGTGATTAAATTAGCATCTAGGAGCTCGATGGCGTGGGTGGTTAGCGCGTTCGGCTGCCATCCTTGAAGTTAAGCAACTTTCGCTATGGTCGGACATTGGATGGATGACCAAAAATTTACTATCTGGAGCTCCTCCGTGCTTCGGAAGGCACGTTAAGCCGTTGGTCCCGGCTGCATCTGCAGTTGTTAGCACCCACCAATCCGCACTGGGCCCGCGTGGTGGGTCATGGCCCAATCTCCCTATTCCATCCATAGGGAAGGCCTGTGCCCCAGCAGTGGGGACATTAATAGGCTGATGATGTTGATGATGATGAAATTAGCATATTCATATTTATTAAAACGTTTCAATTTGATTAGGTATATTTGGTTTATTTATTGTCTTTTTTGATTGTGCTATTGATTATTTAAAGTTGATTTATATTAAGACCTTTTTTGCCTGAAATACAGGACAAGCCTGAAGTTCAGGCTGTGTAGTTTTTCTTCATCCTTTGTATTTCTTAGATTTAAGTCATTTATATGTAATAATTGATATTGATTAAAGATTATTATTAATGTGTATGTATACCCACAGGCTGGTGATAATGTTCGTGCCGAGCGTGAGGCCACGGTTACTGCACGCACGGTCTCGCACTCTCGCCATGGAGACCGCCGTCGTGGTCTCGCGGAGGACAGACCTCGGCGACTGGTGGCTGCTGTACATGCTGGCCCGCAACATGGACCCGCTCATATACAGGCGAGTGTCCAACCCTCCTTCAGGCCGCCAATAATGTTCGTGCCGAGCGTGAGGCTGCGGTTACCATGGAGACCGCCGTCGTGGTCTCGCGGAGGACAGACCTCGGCGACTGGTGGCTGCTGTACAATATGCTGGCCTGCAACATGGACCCGCTCATATACCACAACGTCAAAAAATACAGAGTAATGTCACTTTGACTGCATGCTTACAAGCAAGTGACGTCATTTTAGGCTCCGCCAATCCTAGGCGTTTTCGGTAACGTAATAAAAGGTCAAAAAATTCTTTTCTAGTTCATAATTTCTGGCCTATGAGTTATTTCCTTCAGAGGACCACGTGCGCTGGCCTACGTTGACACTGACTTACCATTACGCGAAAGCGCGAACAAAGAAATTTGGCGACTCATTTCTTTGTCGCACTACATATTCGCAAATGAAATGCTTTGCCCGCTCACGTGTTTCTTTTCTTTTACAATCCGAAATTGACAACCCGAGGATTTTTTAATGGAGGTGTAGGAGAACTTTGCTGTCCGAAAAGGTGAGAATGGCTGGTGTAGCAGACAAAACTGCTGCACGAGCCATCTTCGTGTCTGGATTCCAACGTCACTTAACACAACAAGGAAGGAGTCATTTGTCGGCGCTTTTTATAAAAAAAAAACTTCTCCAAAAAGAAATTTCATTCACATAAAATCTTCGCCATAACCACTTTATTTTATTCTTATTTTTCTCTCTTTTATACAGGGAACTGATCTCCGAGCTGGCCAAACGCATGGGGGAGAAGCCTGGTCCGCGCGCGTGACCTTCACCCCCACCCCCACCACCTGCGACCATAGCCGTACTAACAGCGTGACATTGAATACGAGGCCAGTTGCACTGAACTTATCTGCACACAAGTCACAAAACACCCCCACCAGAGACGCGTGAAATCCGAGCACTAAACCTATCTATAACATAAATAAACAGGCACTAACCTCGAGGCGCACAGCGTGACACGGAAAACGAGGCCAGTTGTACTGAACTTATCTAAGTTCAGTACGACTGTCCTGCACACAAGTCACAAACACCCCCACCAGAGACGCGTGAAAACCGAGCACTAAACCTACCTATAACAAAATCAAACAGACAATGACCACGAGGCATCGTGCTCACAGCGTGACACAGAATACGAGGCCAGTTGTACTGAACTTATCTAAGTTCAGTACGACTGTCCTGCACACAAGTCACAAACACCCCCACCAGAGACGCGTGAAAACCGAGCACTAAACCTATCTATAACATAAATAAATAGACACTGACAACGAGGCGCCGTGCTCACAGCCTGACACGGAAAACTAGGCCAGTTGTACTGAACTAAGATCAGATCAGTACAACTGTCCTGCAATCAAGTCACAAAATACCCCCACCAGTGCCGCGCGAAATCCGAGCACTAGACCTATCTAGAACTCAAATAAACAGACGCTGGCCACGAGGATAACAAAAGGAATATCTTTGTATTATACTCAGCAACTTGACGTCTGATGACAGCTGCTTAAGATGGCGGCATATGAAACTAATAAAACCATGTCGAGACAGACTATAGACAAATGAGGAAAGGGCAAAGATATTCCTAATGTTACACTGTGCCTCTTATTATACGGTAATCGGTAATTTCTGTTACATTTATTTTCAGGTCACAAGATTCTTTAAGTGTATAACACCAAATAACTTTAATATACTATATCTCAATCAATGAAGTTAGGTGGATTAACTCCTTGTGATTGTAGAACACAAACTGTAATAAAGCTAGTATGTGCGGTGTCATGGAACTTTTTTTTTATGTAAACTTCGAAAATCGTTTATTAACTTTTATACTTTTACAAAAAATCGACTTTTACGCAAATATTGAGCCAATTTTTCAATGACAAATCGCTGCATTTGAACGCTGATCCACGCGCGATTTTAGTAACTCGAATTTTGTATAGATTTTACATGCCTTTATATGAGTATTTTCTAGTTTTAAGACGATGGAATTATGTAGATAGTTGTAGATTAAAGGTAATTATTCTCTATGTGGTTGCCATAAGGTTGCAAATTGAACGCAAAATCTCTATGAATGACAACGTTGCCACTGCCACTTTGTATCACCATGCTCGAATCAATGGTTGTATTTAATGTATTCTTGTTGTATTATGTAGTAAATTTTTACGCGAAAACGATGTTTGAATCGTGGGACCTGATATGAATCTTATGCTATTGTTTTAGAGTCGTTTTTTCCGACTATTGCACTTTAAAGACGAAATGTTTTAAATCCATTTTGTGAATGCAGTTATAACTTAATCATGTTTATTTTTACAGTTTTTAAATGTATTTTAATTTATTTTTTACGAATATACGTATTTTTTTGCTACACATCTTAATGAACTTATATGTGCCAATGAACATGGATCACAATTTTCTAGTTATATTTCTTATAACACACATTTTTTACTTTTTATTAGTTTATCGATTTTTATGTAATTTTTATTCCATTTTAAAGCAACCAATCAGCTATGCATATCATTTTCATTTATTAAATTTAACTATCGAATATAGTAGTGCATGTTTTAGACTAAAAGGTAAGAATGCTACCCTAATAGTAGTTTTATTATACACTGGCAAGACCTTGTAGTTTTAAGGAAGCACTGATAAGCCAAGGGATGGACTGTCGATTATTCGCCTTATTGTATGTGTACGTGAATATTGGATTAGGTATTGTCATCGGTAAAGATGATCTTGAGTAATATATTGCTGAGTAAACTTGTATGTTTTTTTAAATATAATGATGATATACTTTTTTACATTATGCCGACACTTCGCTTCTCTATACGTGTTTGCTATTTGCGAACACGTCATCAGTCTGTCCTTTTCATTCCTTCTAGAGATGGGTTCCGAACCTGGGGGTAATTACCCCGCCGGGGGTAAATCAGCCATACTTCGGGGGTAACAAAGAACCTAATTATTTGGTCAAATCTAAATAATACTACTAAATAGAGCATGCGCTCCTTCTTGCTAGCGAGCCCGCGGGGTGCTGAGTGGGAAGCGGGGCGAGATTCTCTCCTGACAATAACATTATTAGAGACGAAGATTTAGCGGCCAAATTGGAATTTCTTGGACTGATGATAACATTTTAAAGTCGGGGTAAAATCTGTTTCCCTAATAGGTTACAGGGGTAGCAGTATTGAACACTGTTCTAGAGCATGATATGGACAGACTGTTGTTCACGAATAGCAAACACGAATAGCCATGTAAAGTGCCGACAATAAGTATGAAAGTTGTGTAAATGTTTGAAATAAATCAAAATGAAAATGAGTCTCTTGTCGTAACGTAGATCTTTTTATTGATATTAATCTTTTGGAGTCATGTTTTTGATGTTACGAGTATAATAGGGTATTTGACAAGTTTTAGAAAACGATTAAAAAGTGAATATTCAGCATTCTGTTGTGTATTTCAGTGAAAATAACCAAATCAAAAACTCCATTTTCAAGCTGCCGCGAAAACGTTTTTCTGGACAAAATGGCGTCTTACTAGTGTGTGACGTCACACGACTGTTATTAAAACGTCAAACGATACAATGTGATGTTACTTTAACCGGAAGTTTACTTGCGTATGACGTCATTTTAGGCTCCGCCAATCCCAAGCATTTTGGGTCACGTGACAATAGATAAGAAAACTATCATCTTTCTCGTGGGTTTTTAGTAAAATTATGAATATTTTTTTTTGTAAAAATAATAAAAACCCCTGCCAATATTCATTCTAAACACAGATGCTAACAATTGGCACTTTATTTTTAATACTGTCAAATATCCTATTGGAATTTAGAGCCGTTTTGGTCTGCAGTTTGTAGGCCATGTGATGTGTTATCTGTAGCAGTTTAGTTCGTAAGACAGGTTGTTACTTGGAGCGATACTGAAAAGCGCTAGAACGATGTATATGCTTCTGGGTAGTTCTTGTATTGTACAAATGAGGGGGTGTCCTTTTCTAGATGATGTGCTAAGAAATGAAAGAAGATCGGCATATTTTTTTATAAAGAACGTGATATTAAAAAGAAAATTGTGTGTGTCAGCTCCGACGCACGACTGGAGTTTACTCCTTAAGTTCGATAGTCTAACCAGACGCATAAAGAGTTTATTTAACTTAAAAAAGATTAATATCAATCCGTCATCTTTGTTTGTCAAAGTTGCGAGACATAGGATGCGCACCAAAAACTTAACGAGGTCATTCATCGATAGATTTCACTCCTCACATTTTTCTCATACCGGGCCCCTTATATATGCAAATCGATTCTTAAGGAGTAAACTTCAAAAAACTTTATTCTAAATATTTTTTGTTTGTACAAAATTAGAACTGCTCTCATATAAGGTTACCCTGTGTTATGAGAGGCAGGCTCATCCTTATTGTAAAATTATAATAAACATGCAATTATTACACATGTTACTTGAAAACTACAAACAATTATGTATATTTATTAAATAATGCATTATTCTAATTTATCGGTTTACATTGAGTAAGGTAATTAGCGACTCGTTTATAGTAACTGAGTTGGTACAAAAATGTATTTATGAAACAAGTCTTAGCACATCACCGTCAATAACACCACCCTAAAATTTACATTCTAAACAAAGTTGTGAGGAAATTTCCAATTGTTTGGTGTTCATTTTTAATAGTTACTGCTCCCCTTTTGGAGTTTTCTATATCGTGAAAGTAGCTTATGGCGCTTCACTGGCGCTTTGTTAAAATTTTCACACGTTCGTATCATCATTCTCATTTCATTGAAAAACACATTTCATATAACATAACATATCTTTAAAACAAAGGTCCCGCACATCATCTTTAAAAATGTTTTCATTTCAAATTGAAAATCCGAAAAATACTGTATTTTTGCTAAAGTGAGCAAATCATTTTCATTCATTAACTTTTAACATTTATCATAAGATGAAATCGTAGATCTAATGGTTTCATCATCAGCCTATTAATATCCCACTGCTGGGGCACAGGCCTTCCCTATGGATGGAATAGGGAGATTGGGCAACGATCCACCACGCGGGCCCAGTGCGGATTGGCGGGTGCTAACGACTGCAGATGCAGCCGGGACCAACGGCTTAACGTGCCTTCCGAAGCACGAAGGAACTCAAGATAAGAAAGTTTATTAGTAGAAAAACATCTTTTACTACTGGCAACATCTCTTTCGGCTCAAAACACAGCGATACGAAGCCATGAAAGAAACCGTATGCAAAATTAAAAGTATTTTTATAGCCATTAAAATTAAAATACTGAATCATAGAACATCATTCGCTGTGTTTATTGTAACATATAATGTGAACTAAAATTACCTCGCATTTTTATGTTTATATAATATTCTGTTGAAATAAAAGCTGTATGTTGTACGGGCATAGTTTAGTGATGGCATATACGACTATAGTTCTTATGTATATACTGTGAAGGTTCCTATTTGAAGCTGATTTTAGTTCACAATATTTTGGAGTGATGACGCATTGTAACGATAGGTTTTGATCTATAAAGACATTGTGTAGAGGTAACATGGTATTCACATCACTTTTGTATGATTGAGTTTTATATTTTTAATCAGTGAAATTATACTTTTACTGTGTTACAAAAAACGACGTCTATGATGATAAGAAAAATGTTATGTCTATACATTTTACAAAATCAATTAGGTTTTACACTTTTAGTTAGTTAGGACAAAATCTCTGAAGCATTTTAAATAGTTAAGTTTCAGCGTAGTTAAATAAACCAGTTTGTTTTTGTTACAAAACAATCAAATTGCATGATCTAAAACACCACCTTTATCCAAATGTGTCCTTTGTAACTTGTGGGTCACCCTACCTAGGGCTGCCATCCGACCGGGTTTTCCCGGATTTATCCTAGTTTACGGGGCGTCCGGGGA